CAAAGAAGGAAGTTGCAGTACTAAAGACAGTAAAGCTATCCTTGAAGCACAGCACAATCTATGTTTCCAACAGATTGGGAATGAGATGAAAGCTGATTATGAAGAGCACGACGCTATTCTGATCGCTTGTTGCATGATGCAGATCAAGGCCCAGTTCAATACTGAGGAAGGTCTGAACTTCATTCAACAGTATTACATCAATCAAGGACTGAAGAAGTTTGGTGATGATGGAAAGGATGCTGTGGATAAGGAATTGAGACAAATGCTCCAAAGAGATTGTTTCACTCCCCAATTTGTTAAAGACATGACCGCGTCTGAGCAAAAGAAGGCCCAATCAGCGATGATGTTACTCGCAAAGAAGCAATTTGAAAAGACAATTAAAGGTCGCCTTGTATACCAAGGCGGTGGAACTTGTGAATGGTTATCGCAAGAGGACACTGCAAGTCCAACTGCTTTGCAACATGCAATCACCACTACTTGTGTTATTGATGCACACAAAGGTAGAGATATAATGTGGATTGACGTTCCTAACGCTTTCATTCAAACTGCCAATTCGAGGGGACAAATCCTGTTACCAAAGGAATATTGTGAAAAAGGGCATTGCAATAGGCAATAACTGGTGACTGGGCCGCTGCCTTGAAGCGTCCATTGTGTAAGCCATGAGGTTCAGAACCCTTGTCCTCTGGGTTTCGAGACCAGAAGTACACGTGATCAGAGGTCGTAACCTCAAGGTGTACGGGTGAACGATCCTTGTGAAATCGGCAATGGGAAAGAAAGGCCGTAGTGGCAGGGTCAAGAAGGTCAGACAGGGAGTAGTGGCCTTCCAATAGTGCAATGGGATTAGATTCAACCTCAGCGCCGGTGAATGCTGTATACAAGGGTTCCGCCATGGATGGAGTCTTATATGGAGCACATGTCTGGTTGTAGCGTGTTGCATTTTCTTGCATACAACCTTCTTCAACCAGAGCCCGATCAGTGATAGTACGCAGCCGTGTAGTGCCGTCTGGTAACTTTTCTTCAATCTGAATAGCCCGTAAAGCCCTGGTAGATCCTTTTTGTTGGGCGCAACGACGGCGTCTTGCCTTCTCTCGTTGCTTCATTTGTCAAAACCGAAGGAATCTATTGTGGGCCTTCTGGGATTTCCATTTCTTCTTCTTTGCATCCCTTGTCTGAGCCGTAAGAAAGTCCTGTCTCAATTGGGTTGCCTGACATTTGGCTTGCTTATACGCCCTGCGTTCAGCTGCCAATGCCTCTTCCAATTCATCAGTTGTCTTCTTCCATGCGTCGCGCAGCCTTGTCTTCTTCATCAGGCGCCGGACCTTTTGGGCGCTCACACGGCATCGCTTGCATCCTTTAAGGAGGAGCTTCCAAAGACTCAATCGGTCCCAAAATCCTTGCAACTTTGGAGACCACGGAACCTTACCGGATGAGGTAGTGCAACAATTGTCTTCAGCAAGCCGCCGTACCATAAACATCTGCCGGTGAAAGCAGTTATATTTGCGTGCCAACGAGGGTGACATCTGTCGCTCATTGGATCCAGTGCGCTGATTTAGCTTGGTAAGGCGGGAAGGGATGTCATACTCCACGTAGCCCAAGTGGACCAGTTGAAGATAGCGTCTAACCGACCGCTTGTCCAAAAGAGTTAGTTTGCGAGGTTGAAAGGTAGACCCCTGGGGTGTGAAATTGCCCAAAGCCGTGTTCAAGTCGATATCAATCCATAGTGCCCTGTGGTCTGCTTCAACAAATTCACCAAATGCGTAGTAGCCACCAGCCAGAACCGGAACGCCTGAAGTGGTAAAGATCCCGTCAATGGGAATGTTGCTTTGATTTCGTTGGTGAATTGTCATTGGGGGATGCCTTTTCAAAATCGCTTCCTCCATTCCGCACTCACGGAACCGCTTTTGTATGGAGTCCGGGGAGTTAAGCAAAAGGTCTTTGTTAGCATTGATCCCCAGCAAAACTTCACAACCCTTGTCCCTCCATTTTTGAATTTGTTTGCACAAGTCATCCACAAATGCATTGCAAGGATCAACCTTACGTTTTATAGTTAAAGTAGAGACGTTGTTGGGCCCACACAGTCGATTCCCCAGTACCTTCTCTGTTTGGTCTATATGCTGAGACAACCACTAGATCATGTGAAATCGGTTGTCAGACCGCCTCATTGACGTCGAGCACCAAGCCGTAGTGATCATCACCCCCCTGCGCCTGCAGCTTTTTTCTTGAAGACAAACATAAGCCCACCGTCCCAGCCCCGTCAAATCGATCCCTGATTCTTTAGCTCAGTGCAAGACCTGACTAAGTACTCCCCCCGCACCTTCAGCTTCTTCCCTTGAAGACGAACATGAGCCCAACGTCCCAGCCCCGTCAAATCATTCCCTGCCTCTTTACCTCGGTGTGAGTCCTGGCTAAGCACTGTTGCTATGCATTCTCCCCATTGAAAGGCTGCAGTTGCCGAAGATCATGACTGCTGTTTATTATAAGCGACAGCCGAAAAAAAGCCTTTGCGCTTTGCCTTCATTGTAGCATGACGCATTCTATCGTTCCACCCATGACCCTCTGGGATAGAGGGCCAATACGTTTTGGCCTCTGCAAACAACACTATTCCCACTCGCTCATATTGCATCCAGGAGTTGATCTGCCGCTGTTTTACCAGTATGACGATCCATTTAACGACAATACAGGGACAGCAACTTGTGAAGATCGTTTTGCCCGCATTTTCACACCAATGAATTCGGATAATAGTCAATTGACAAAGTACCTCATTGCCGCATTTGACACTGAAACGATGGAAGTGAATCCGTCTGAAGAAATCTGGATTTTACGCATTTTGGCCATGCGGATTTCTTTACAAAATCCGTTTTCCTTTTCGGTATTGATGAGTTTGAGGGCAAACCGGCGAAATGTCCAATCCACGGCTACGCTTGGAGCATCCCTTGGTGGGCTTTTGGTTAATTTGCTCCGAGTTGTTTGACTATCCTTGGATTAATGAGTTTCTGTTGGAGTATTACAACGACCCGCCATCCGCAATTGTCGACGCAATCAAACAAACAAGAAGTGGCAAGTCTATCAACAAAGCGCCAAATCGAGAATTAGTGAAGGAACCGGATCCGCCTTGTATTCAAAAAATATACGATCTGATGTATTCTATTGTCGAACCAGGCACGGATGTTCAACGCGATTCCACCAGCTCCGAAGGGGACCAGGTGCAAAACTCAAATCGCTTTGCACCTCTACAAAGTGACGATGACTCGTTTGACGGTAGTGGAATTCAAGAATTCGACGAGGTTGAAGTGGTGGCGGTGAAAAAGAATGACTCCAAGGCGCCTGAGTCGTCGGATGAAGATGAAGACACTGATGCTGACGACACTGACGACAGGGAGAACATTGTGGACGACGCAATGGAGGAAGACGATGATGACAAACGGGTCAATACCGCTGGGGCAAACCCGCACGATGAGGCCATGGACAACAACACTCTACCGTTGACTTCTCCTAAACTTACGGCAACACAAGACTCAGCAGGTACTTGGAAACAACTCCTTCTTGCGTCCAACATCCCCCAACACTGGCCGAACGGATCTCAAACCTCATTCAGGTGAACATGGAAGGGATACCAGGCAAATGTCACAACTTTGAGACTATTTTCTCCGTGGACTATCAAGGGTCGGATTCAGGAACTGTGGCGGAGGCGCTCTTGTCGACAGTTCTGAATTCCTATGGAGGAAGCCATCAACAATTCCCCTAATGAATTGAAGCTTCTTCCGATCTCTGATACCACATATAAGCAACCAAATCTTTGGATTCGAAACTCAGTAGATTTACGTAATCGCATTTCGACTTATCGCGCTCTGTTGACTTACTGTGATATGGAACACGGTAACTGTCCCTACACGGCAACCAACAGCAAGCCGGGCGAGAAGAAACTACGCACACGCATTCGCGTCGGCTTCTTGGCTGAGGCTTCGGTCGAGGCTGTCCAAGACTATCTTCATACCGGATTACGTCAATTGGGGAGAGGTGCTGGGTGCCACCCTTCTCCCTTGCAGTATGGAGAAATTGTGAAGATCGGATCATGCTCGTTTATTCCTGCAGAAGTCAACTTCTCAGCTTATGCAAAGGAACTGATGAGACTATTTGATTTTGAAGTACCGATTTGTATCAAGATGGACTGGGTTTCTATTCCGTACACGGGCCAAGCAAAGTACGACAAACGGTCCCCCGCAGTGACTAGTCCACATTGTTTCACTCGGAGGATTCATGCCAAGAGAGTTGATCGCACTTTGAGGTCAATTCTCCACCCAGCAACTGCAAAACCTGACTTTCCATTTGCAGCACCGGCCACCTACATCAGTGATTGGAAGTCGGCACAACAAGGTTTGCTGAGTGTTAAGGCCTACGGTCGGGTGAAGGATGCGATCCTTACCTTGATCAGCAAGTTACGGGATTACTACATTTTGACGGAGGTTCTTTATCCAGGCATCAACTTCACAGGGATGTTCAAGTTTGCTACTACAAGGTTGTACGGTTCTTGCACCCTGTTCAAACTGCTCTTGTCCATCAAGGCTACTCCGGCCCAGGCTGATCAGGCTTCCACAGCTGCCAAAGACAGACCCCCAACAACTGCCAACGACAACTCATCTGAAGAGGAGGACGATGAATCCCAGGAGGGAGCGGGTTCTCTGTCCGGGCCATTCACGAAGGTGACAAAGAAGAAGGTGAAGAAGAAGAAGAAGTCGCTCATTTCCGATAACCTAGAGAATCATTTTCTCAAAGATCTATCCCCGGCACAACGCAAGCTGGCTGAAGCCACCGACCGCAAACTGAAGAACGATATTGATCGCCATAAGGCAGGACCACTCTTCCTGATGATCCTTCCTGGAGAAATGGAAGGCTCTTACATCTTTGTATGCCGCAAGAAGTACGGTCAGTTAGCTCGAAACGTGTTGAGAGGGATAGTTCCGTTCTTGATTCATCACCTGTGCGAACTTACCAATACGCAAGCTGATCGAGTCTTGGGTAAATGGATTCCCAAATCAGAGATCCAGGCGACGCGTCGTAAGTGTTTGGTATGGTGCACCAACACACTACGCGCTATTGAGGCCTCCGATCAGTCGACCAAGGTGGAGGAAGCTCTGGAGTTTTTGGACGATGTGATCGAAGACACCACTGATGTCTACCAAGGTCAACTCTCGATCGATATGGATATGGCGAATGCCAAGGATATTGACGATGGTCAAACGGTCACGGGGATGCTGGATGAAATGCACAAACATGAACAACAACTAGAGGATGCCTTTGTGGAAATTGAAGCTTGTGACAACGCCTTGGCGGCTAAAGACCAGGCCCTGGCTCAGCAGAAAGCCGCGACTGCGGCTCTTCAAGCCCAACTTGAGGTATCTCCAGATCGGTCCGAATTCACTATGCCACCAAAAAAGAGGAAAAGTAAGGATACTTCCACAACTAAGAGGAGCGTTGACAGGTCTAAGGCTGGTCTTAAGCCGCCCACTAAGTCAACTTGTACCAGCACGTCTGTTCACTTTCAGCAGCCGAAGCAGCGCTCTTGGAACATGTCTCAGGTCCAGGTGGACACAACTCAGATGGGGGGTGATACTACTACAGCTGTGTCTCAGGACGAAAGCCTCTCATCTCTGACAGCGGCATCTCCGCGAGGTGTACACCCATTCTTTCTCCCTTCTCCATCTGGCAAATCCGGTACTAGCGGATCTGCTAAGTTGCCTTCTTTGGCCGGCCGCGGAGCGCCTCGCTCCGCGGCAGGGCCATGAGAGGCCCCAGGTCGTCTGCCGCTAGGTCACGGCGTGCAGGCAGAAGATCTCGAATTATTGGCCCGTCAAGTGTTGTTTCCCACGCCTCACTTGACGAATATTTACGCTCTCTTCCACCAGGAGACTGCCTTGGCGACGACCATCGCTGTCGCTCTTCACTAGCTACTCGCGTCACCTTTCAGAACGTTAACTGTATTCCGGAGGAAGGTGACCATGTGAAACAGCGGCAGATCAACTCCTGGCTGCAAGACGAGCAAGTGGGAATAGCGTTGTTGGCGGAGGCCAAAACGTTTTGGCCCTCTATCCCAGAGGATCATTGGTGGAACGATAGGATGCGTCAAGCTACAATGAAGGCAAAGCACAAAGGTTTTTATTCGGCTGTCGCTTATAATAAATAGCAGTCACCATCTTCAGCAACTACAGCCTTTCAATGGGGAGGATGCATCGCGACAGTACTTAGTCAGGTCTCGCACTGAGCTAAAGAATCAGGGAGCGATTCAACGGGGCTGGGACGGTGGGCTTATGTTCGCCTTCAAGGAAAAAAGCTGCAGACGCAGGGGGGTGATGATCCCTCCGGCTTGGTGCTAGACGTAAACGAAGCGGTCCGACGCCCGATTTCACGTGATCTAGTGGTTGTCTTGGCATATAGGCCAAACAGAGAAGGTACAGGGGAATCGACCGTGTGGGCCCAACAATGTCTATACTTTAACTCTATAAAAGGTAAGATTGATCCGCGCAAAGCATTGGTCGATGACCTGTGCAAGCAAATTCAAAAATGGAGGGACAAGGGTTGTGAAGTTTTGCTGGGGATCAATGCTAACAAAGACCTTTTGGTCAACTCCCCGGACTCCATACGACAGCGGTTTTGTGAGTGCGGAATGGAGGAAGCGATTTTGAAAAGGCATCCCCCCACAGCGACCCACCAACGAAATCAAAGCAACATTCCCATTGACGGAATCTTTACCACTTCTGGTCTTCCGGTTCTGGCTGGTGGCTACTACGCATTTGGTGAATTTGTTGAAGCAGACCACAGGGCACTATGGATCGATATCGACTTGAGCACGGCTTTGGGCAATTTCACACCCCAGGAGTCTACCTTTAAACCTCGCAAACTCACTCTTTTGGATAAGCGGTCGCTTAGACGCTATCTTCAACTGGCCCACTTGGGTTACAAGGAGTATGACATCCCGTGCCGTCTTACCAAGCTCAATCAGCGCATTGACAGATGTCATCCTTGCTTGCACGCAAATATAACTGCCTTCACCGGCAGATGTATATGGTATGGCGGCATGCTGAAGACAATTGTCGCACTACCTCCTCTGGCAAGGTTCCTTGGTCTCCCAAATTGCAGGGCTTCTGCGACCGGTTGAGTCTCTGGAAGCTACTCCTTAAAGGACGCAAGCGATGTGGTGTGAGCTCCCAAAAGGTCCGGTGCCTGATGAAGAAGACAAGCTGTGCACTGCGTGGAAGAAGACGACTGATGAACAGGAAGTGGCCTGTGTTAACGCTTCCCGCAACACTTGATGCTCCACTTGTGGACGCTGAAGCTCCAGGAACTATAGCTGGAACAGTAGCTGGGACAGTTGCTCCAATCTGATTAAGATTGAGCTTCTTCCCATAGTCA